AAAAGTATCTTGTCACGTTTGTGACAATGCATTAGCAGATGAGAAGAATGAAATGGAAATGAAAAGGACAGATGAAATGAAATGAAGAGAGTTAGAGATATTGAGTTATTTTAAAATAGAAATTGATGATTTTATGCTGCATTTAAATGTGAAAATTAAACGTTCCAATCCAAAAAATAAAAAATTGAAATATCGAGAGGTTGAAAAACAAAAGGAAGAAATAAAAAATTGCGAGAATTCAGTGCACCCCCTACTGCGCCCTCGTTCATCACTGACAATGAGTTAGGTAATCTCCCGTACAAAAACATTTGATTCAATATCATATAATGCGATTATAAGGAACAGTTAACACGCTTTGTATTCGCTAGTATATCACACTTTCGCATGCGTTCATTTTTATTTAATAAACAAGGGTGTTTGCAATGGCTGTTCAAACGAGGACAATAATAGACGGTGAACAATGAAGCGCACGTTTTCACAATCGCAGTTATTACAAGATGATTGTCAATAAATATCAAACATGAAGTGTCTATTATGCAGTTATAATACGACGACGATCGAGAAGGACGTTTCGCGAGGAACAAAGATATTGAGACATCGTTAATATTATATTCAATCTATGAGTCTTTGAGATCGGTATCTTGTAATTAAAATATTGAGGAAATCTTTGAAATGAGTGATAAATTAAATCAACGGGAAAGGAAGAAAATTTTTGTGTATTTAATACAATTGTTTAAGCATTGGAGATCTGGTTTTGAGAAATCTATTGGGATTTTAATGTTTAAGGGTTTGGGTTTAATAGAGAAAATTGTAAGAAATGCACAAGTTTGTATTGAAGTCTCGAATTTGGAGATTTAGGAATTTGGGGACTTGTGAATTTGGAGATTTGGAAATTTAGAGGTTTGGGAATTTGGGGATTTGGAGATTTAGGGATTTGGAAATTTAGAAATTTGGAAGTTTGGAAATTTGGAAATTTGGAAATTTGGGAATTTGGAAATTTGGGGAATTTGGGGAATTTAGGAAATTTGGGGATTTGGGAAATTTGGGGAATTGGGAAAATTGGAAATTTGGGGAATTTGGGAAATTTGGAGATTTGGGAAATTTGGGGAATTTGGAAAATTGGAAATTTAGGGAATTAAGAGAATTTTGGCAATTTGGTGAATTTGGGGAATTTGGGGAATTTGGGGAATTTGGGAAATTTGGGAAATTTGGGGAATTTGGAAAATTGGAAATTTAGGGAATTTAGAGAATTTTGGCAATTTGGTGAATTTGGGGAATTTGGGAAATTTGGGAAATTTGGGAAATTTGGGAAAGTTGGGAAAGTTGAGGATTTGGGAAATTTGGGGAATTTGGAAATTTGGGGAATTTGGGGATTTAGGGATTTGGGGAATTTCAGGAATCTGGGGAATTGAAGAATTTGGCTATTTGGGAATTTTGGAATTTTGGAATTTGGGGAATTTGGGGGATTTGGGAATTTGTGGATTTGGAGATTTGTGGAATTTGGGGAATTTGGGAATTGAGGAATTTAGGAAATAGGGAATTTAGAAATTGAGAATGTGGGAAGTGGGAATTTAGAATTTTGGAAATTTAGGGATTCGGTGTTTTAGAAATTGGGAATTTAGGAAGTGAGGATTTAGATACTGAGAATTTAGGAAGTGGGAATTTAGTAATCCAAGAATTTGTAAACTTGAAAATTAAGAGATTTGGGAACTCACGAATTTGAAGATTTAGAGATTCAGGAATTTAGAAATCTAGCAATTTGCAAATCAAGATACATGTTCAAAGAGCACCAATAATAAAATCTTTAAAAATGTTAATCATCGAACAGGAACCAAGTCGCTCTAACATACATGATTTCTTGGCTTAATAAAGTACGGTGCAATTAACCAATTGCAAGGGTAAATTGACTGGAATGCGCTTTGACATAGCGGAGTACTTAAATCTTCTTCGCGAACAAGCAACCTTAAAATGCGCCGGAATTTTCTTCGTGAAACTTTCTGTTAATTGTATTTCGATTAATCTTAATCTTGTTAGATGCTGACGAGTCTTATTTAATTATTAGACAAATTTTTTTTGTTAATTCTGTTTAAGTGAGGACAAATTTTTTTGTAACGAGTTATGGTCGATTTTAATTGTTTTGAAATTTGTTAACAAAATTTGTGTAGTTTGATAAATATTTTTGTAGGTTGATAAGTATTTTGTTAGTAGAACATAGACAAACTTTTCTGTAGTGAGTTATGATCGATTTTAATTATTTTAAAACTTGTTAACAAAATTTGTGTAGTTTGATAAATATTTTTCTAGCTCGATATTTTATTAGTAGAAAATTTGTGGCTAAGTGTAATTTTAATATTATTCAGTATAATTTTGTTAACAACATAAAAGAATAGTCTTATTGAAAAATTAATTAGTTGAATTCTGTCTGAAACTTCGATAAAATTGAATTTGATTCAAGAATGTATGTTTATTGAATTTTTAACAAAAAAAAAAAACAAGAATACACTGATAATTATTGTTCATGAAGTTTCAAGGTTATGTCGAGATTTCAAATTGTTTTTCTATTTTACACAAAAGAATTCCAATTTTCAATATAATTTATTCAAATTTCATGTAAAAATGAATACCACAAATTGAATAAAACACAAGAAGTTTTATATAAACTCCGAAACAAATAAGAAGCTGAAGATGACAAGATCGAATCTCTAAATCTTTAATAGCGTCGGAGAAAAACCTGAAAATGACCTAGACAGAATATTCACCGAGCTTATATTTTTACCCCAAAAATTCGACAAAAAACATTCACAGACTGAAGTGCATAAAAAATGAATTTTATTGACCTACTGAACGAATTCGCATTCGCAAAATAAGGAAACCAATATTTCGTTGACAATAGAAATGTTTACAGTATGCATACGATTAACGATCCGTGAAAATTGTTAATGAGGTAAAAGGCAAAATTATTAAGATTATTAATTTGCAAGAATTATTAAAATTATTAATTTTGGGAAAATTATTAAAACTGTTGACCCGATGGAATTATTCAAATTATTAATCGAGCAAGATTATTTAAAATTGTTAGATTTCGTATTTTCAGTTATGAAAATTAGCAAGGTTTCATCAAAATTTAGATTTCGTATATCAGATGAAGTTTTTTTTTATTATTAACCTGACAAAATTATTAAAATTATTAACCAGACAGAATTATTAGATTTTCAAAATTGTTAGGTTTCTCATTTTCGATTATGAAAATTATTAGCAAGGTTTCATCAAAATTTAGATTTCATCAAGATAAATCAGATGAATCAGTTTTTTTCTATATATTATACATTATTTATTTACTTTTATAGTTTCAATTTAAATATAAGTAAAATTTAAGGTTAACTTATGTATGATGCACTACCAATAGAAAATTAAAAATATAGTGAATAAATAAACGATGTAACATAATTTATTACTGACAGATTAATTTTTTATCTGAATAATAGACCTGTATTTTCAAAAATACCTCAACAAATTTTGCAACTTAAAATAAAATACTTAAAATATTTTTGTGAAATAGAAAAGTAAAATGGCCACTTGACAAGTTTAATACTTTCAGTGTTGATAGACAATTGAATACTTAAATAGATCTCTTCACATAAAAATAAAATAAATACATAAACAAGTTATCCAATAATACTGGAACTTCCAACCAGACAAAATGACTGAAGTCTGCTTCCATATTTCGTATTACAAAATTTTGTTATTATACTTTCTTACAAATTCATTCTACTTCCTCAAGACTATTGTACATGTTAGTCAACATATTTATTTACTCTTCCACTTAATTTTCAATTTTAAATTAATTTTGCATTTAGCACATATTTACTAAAAAATTTTGTAACCATGCTTTTGTAAAAATTTGTCATTCTCTATAAAGACGAAAGTACATGTCAATGCTTTAATATTTATTCCTCCCCTTTATTTTCAACTTCAAAATAATTTTGTATTTAACCAATATTTATTATAAAATTTTGTTACCATACTTTCATAAAAATTTGTCACATTCTATCAAGAAAAATATACATGTAAATGCTTCAATATTTATTCCTCCACTTTATTTTCAATTTTAAATTAATTTGGTATTTAATGCATATTTACTAAAAAATTTTGTAACCATGCTTTTGTAAAAATTTCTCATGCTCTATCAAGACAAAAGTACATGTCGATGCTTCAATATTTATTTCTCCCCTTCAATGTCAATTTTAAATTAATTTTATATTTAATGCATTTCATATTTTGAATTTATAACAAAACTTTTTACCATATCTTTGTAAAAATTTGTCATACTTTATCAAGACAAAAGTACATGTCGATGCTTCCATATTTATTCCTCCCCTTCAATGTCAATTTTAAATTAATTTTATATTTAATGCATTTTGTATTTTGAATTTATAACAAAACATTTTACCATATCTTTGTAAAAATTTGTCCTACTTCCTCGAGACTCTTGTACATGTTACTCAATGTATTTATTTATTCTTCCACTTTATTTTCAATTTTAAAATAATTTTGTATTTAGCTCATATTTAGTACAAAACTTTTTACTTTCATAAAAATTGTTTAAATTCTACCAAGACAGATATACATATCGATGCTTCCACTTTATTCCCAACTTCAAAATAATTTATCAAATACCGCATATTTATTACAAAATTTTTAAACCATACTTTGATAACAATTTGTCAAATTCAATCAAGAACAATATAACTCTTGCACTTTATTCTCATTTTTAATTAATTCTGTACCTCTATCCTTCCTCCCGATACCTCAAATCTCTTCCCAAAATCCACCACCATAAACAATCACTCCCTCATAAAAATGTTTCCTTCTAGTTTCCTTTCTTCACCACATTTCCACCTTGTTCACCGTTCAAAACTTCATCACGAAACAAATGAAGACATCGCGTTCGAAAACGCAGAAAACAAAGATGAACAAATGTATAATCGTTGTGCACCTACCTGATCGGGCTGAACGCGAGGAAAGCTGGAGCGGTCGAAATAAAAAAGAAGAAATCGCAGAAAAATCGCGGCGAAACTTGGAGCGAACGTGCGACGCGAATGACAAACAGATAAAGCACAAAGTGCGCGCACCGAGCCCGAGCTTCTCCTCTTTATACCCTCGAACTTGCACCTGTGCTTGCGCAGAGCGGACACTCGAGCTTAGTCCGCTCGTTCCCTTACATCCGCTTCGAACCACGTGCTTTAATCGCGCCTTGTGTTATTAGTTGAGTTTTCGAAACGGTTTCTTGTCGTTTGATGGATTTTATTGGGAAATCGGGGATTTTAGCAGGATTTGGTGTTGCGGGATAGGGATAAGGGGGGTGATCGCTGTTTAGGGTAGTTGGAGAAGTTTGGGGAGTTTTAGGGGAAGATGGGCGTTTTAGGGAAGGTTCAGGGCTTAAGGATTGGGGTTTTAGAGATTCTGGGAAATTGGGTATACATTTAATATGAAAATTTTGAAGTTTGAGTGGGGAGGAATTTTTGAAAAATTGGGAATTTTAGGGAAAGTTGGGAATTTGGAAGTTTTGGGTAAGGTTGGGAATTTCAGACAAATTGGGAATATATTTAATTTTACAATTTCTTGAATTTGAGAAATGGGGAATTTTTGGTGAAAGGGGTTCCCAAGAGGTCCTGGAAATTTCGAAATTGGAAAATTGAGAATTTGGGAAATTAGGAAATTAGAAAGTGGCAAAATAGAGAGATTGGGAAATTGCGAAATTAGGAAATTGGAAAATTGGGAAATTGGGAAATTGGAAAATTGGAAAATTGGAAAATTAGGAAATTAGGAAATTGGGAAATTAGGAAATGGGGAGATTTGGAATTTGGGAGATTTGGAATTTGAAAAATTGGGAAATTAAGGAATTGGGAAATTGGTAAATTAGGATATTGGGAGATTTGGAATTTGAGAAATTGGAAAATTGAGAACTTGGGAAATTAGGAAATTGGGAAATTGGGAGATTTGGACATTGGGAGATTTGGAAATTGGGAAATTAGGAAATTGGGAGATTTGGAAATTGAGAAATTGGGAAATTGGGAAATTGGGAAATTAAGAAATTGGAAAATTGAGAAATTG